CAGCCAGTGAGCGGGAACCGGTCTGTATGTGGGATCCGAACCCTCGGCGGGAGCGCTGCCACGCTTCCCAAGCGGCGCACTAGCGCAGTGCGCCACTGGGCCGGCCCTCTGAATACTTTTTTTAAAAAAAAATTCAACCTCGAAAGTCTGCACATAAAATTAAATATCCACTTCTAGTGTAGGGGGGACCTGCTTTATTATACTTAACCAATTCTAGGTATTATAATAGAATTTTTTTCATTTGATGGCCAAAAAGTAATATTTCTAATATTATTTAGTATTTCTTGTTCCATTTTTACTATAGATTTTGCAAATTAGGTCTGTTATGTTCTTTGCTTATTTTCTATTTCCTGTTATCTTTTTTCCTCTTTATATAAGACTATTAACTCTCTGTTTAATATACATTGAAAACATTTATTCCCAGTTTTCTGTTACTTTGTTTTGTTTTAACATGGTAGAGCTTTAAAAATTTTATGTCGTAAATTTTGTGTCCCCTGTATATTTTCTTTTATGTTTAGAAATGCCTTACCTATCTCAAGATTCCATAAATACCCATATTTTTGCATTAGAACTTTTTAATATACGTGGAATTTATTTGGCTGTATCATTTGCACTGGAGAAGTAATTTTTTCCAGTTGTGGTAGCAACATTGTTGTTTTAATAATTCATCATTTCCCTCATTGGTTTGAAGTGCCACTTTTATATGCATTATTTGTTTATACATACTGGTATTTGATTTTGCTTTTTGCTGTTGTGTATGGGATTTTCTTTTTTTCTTTTTTTTTTTTTTTCCCAGTTATTGCTGATACATGGAATAAGCTATGAATTGTTGTTAACCAGTCATTTTATACAGTTCTCTTAACATTTCCAATAGTTCTTTCTTCAGGTGATTCTCTTGGATTTTCTGGGTAGGAAATTATATATGCCAAGATGATCATTTTGTTTTCTCTTTATAATTGTGTGCAACTCTAATCTCATTGTCCTGAACTTTCAGCACAATGTTAAATGATAGTCATGATAGCAAATATCCTTGTCTTGTTCCTCATTTAATAGTGACCATTGTGTTTACTTGTTTGTTTTTCCTAGATGTCTCTACCTTAGTTAGAAGATGCCCCAATCTTGTCCACCTAGACTTAAGGTATTTTTTTGTTTGTTTGTTTTAGATTAAAAATTGAAAAACCTTGATTGCTCACAGAATGGGGAAAGGACCTTAATATTGAATTGAGGAAACAAAGCAGTAGACTATTTCTGTCTTTTCCATCTAGGATCAGTGGGTGGTTTTGAATGTCTTTTCTTCTGCTCTGTTACAGTGATAGTGTCATGCTAAAGAATGACTGCTTTCAGGAATTTTACCAGCTCAACCACCTCCAACACCTATCACTCAGTCGATGCTATGATATAATACCTGAAACTTTACTGTAAGTATATTTTGTTTTTAACGCTAGTGGAAGACAGGGACCAACAGAGATGCCACTTGGTACTAAAGTCCGTTGTTATTAGTAATAGCAGATGTTTAAAACTTAAACTTTAATATTAGTGTACCACCAGCTGTCTAGGAAAGACCAGCAAAGTAGAAAAACCAAGGCAGAGTTTTTGGCTTAAAATATCTGGTAAAGTTGAGTTGACAGAGATCGTCCACTGAGCATTTATTAGCTGTAAGCAGTTGTAAATACTAGAATACCGTTATAGTATCTTTGGAGGACTTGCAAAAGTAGTAGAAGACAGCTTTAACCTCCAGGGAACTCAGAGTATAATTGGGGAGGCAGACCCAATGTGGGTTGGTTTCTTTTTTTTTCCAAATTTTTCAAATCAACTTCAGTTGATTCCAAAAGCTTTCATCTGGGCTTAGAGAAAAAGTCCTGTAATCTTCTAGTGATGTATGTCCTGCTTGGTGAAGGACTGGGAAGAATAAAGGCATGAAGGTGGCATATGTTGCAAGAGTCTGATGCTCTCTTTGAACGGGGGGGATTAAGATCCCAAAGAGTGAAGTGACTTATCCAGACCTGATGGTGAGTTACTGGCTGAGCTAGACCTAGATCCAAGGTCTCCTGGACAGATGTAAAATAGTCTGTATCTAATCTGGTGGCTCATACAAGGGTAGTTTCACCTGCTCAGCAACTTCCACAAAATCAAGGGAGTGCAAAGAACAAAGCAATCTAGTCCATCTTCCTTTTAGGAAGCACTGTACCCAAGTCATCCTCAGAATAATATCATCTCTTCATTTTTAAAATGGTTGCCTTTATTTCATCCCAAAAGACCGAAAAAATCTTCCTAATGTCAAATGTAAATTTATAGCAGTTTTCTTTAAAACCACAAGAGATCAGTAACTTGGACTTGGTCAGGCACCCTTCTTTCTTATTACAGCCCCGAAAGAGGCTGCTGACCTTGTTTAGCTTACTATACAAATGAAGGAAGTTTAGTTTGGGGTTCCTACCTAGGAAGGGTGGTGACTTTGAACAAAGCACTTATTTAGTCCTGAAATTAATGGTTTGGATCTTATAAGTTAGCTTCAAGAATTAATGAATAAATCAAATACCTTAGCTGCAGGGTTAACTAGTAGAATTAGGAAGTCTGATCATAGTGTTTTTTAATTAATCATTGTAATTCATCTCAGGGCTCAGCCTGAGCTGGTATCTCATTTGGAAAAGTACTGCCTTAAAGTATGCCAGTATTTACTTCCATGTCTCTCAAATGTTGGGGTCTAAATTCATATACATGGAACTCTTATTAAAATTGCTGCCCTCTCTATTTTCTAGCATCCAGAACTCCTAGAAGCCTCTAGCGTCTATCCAAAGAGGTTTCTCTGTCATCCATTCTTTCCTGTCCTTGCCATCTGGGCTCCCGTCTCTTTGCCTGTGCAGCCCCCTGGGGAGTGTGGTGATAACTTTCTGGTTGCTTTTCTCAAGAGAATCTATCCATGTGTCTTGCTTTTGTTCCTTCACTGCAGAAAGAAGCTAAGCAGGTAATAACCCAAATGCTTTTCTCAAGCAAAGGCTAGGAGAAGGCTGGGAGCCCTCGCATGTTAATAATCTTATCCAGTGGGTTTATAGTGATAAAAGCAATTGTAATATCTGCAGGCAGTGTGAATTGGTGGTTAGGAGCATGGGCCTGAAGTCACAGACCTAGGTGTGAACCTTCACTGCATTATAATTATGTATTTGTCTAAATCTTACCCTGAAATAAGAGAAACAGGGGAATCATGAGTTTAGTTACCAGTCATACCATCAGAACAGAGCAAAAACAAGAAGGAAGATGCTGTCCTTGAACTCTAAGGTAAAAGAGTATGTTTCTTTAGGCATTATGTAAATAGCATGCTGATTTATCTTGTGAATTCTTCAAGATGAGTTTCTTAATACCCTATTCTTAAGTCTCTCAAGATAAAATGTCTTTCCCTCTAATTTCATTCATTCTGGCAGCTGATGTATTTGAAATTCATAATAAAAATTCCAGGATCCCTCAAGAATAATTTCCAGAGTCATCTATGGATAAAGGATTTAAGGCTATTTATTTCTTAAGTGGGAAAATAAAATTTGAGTGTCTTTCTATTGTAATAATGTTTTAAAATACCTGGGAAACTGTAAGGACCTATCCCCATTGTATTTATTCCCTTACTCCTTAATTGGTCTTATTCTCAATGTCTAAAGTTTCTTCTAATTACTCCCTATTTCTCACTCAAGTAAGAAACCCAAGTGGAGATAGTAAATTAATCTGCGATTAGGAGAGACTAAAAACTCCTATGGTAGAAGAATTTGTAACTGAGGCCTTTAAGATTTTATAAGGAAAGCAGGATTATGTAGATAAGATGAGGAGTAAACCTATGAAAGAGGTTGTAAATATCTTTTATTTACTAAGATTAAACAAAGATATGCCATTATCAATGTCATTTTACACTTAAAGTAATGGCTCTTACACTATTAATTTCTATTTACTATCCTTTAGTTTGCTTTTCAGTCTCTTCCACTGTAGTTTCAAAGAGATATTGTAAATTTGTTCTTTGTGTTGTAGATAGTGCCCATAACAAGGCTTCCCCCCTGCCCCCCCTTAAAATTGTAAAGATTTCCTGGTTTTTTGACTTGGGAACTGGTTCTTCATCCATCATCCCTTCTCACGTGTAACACCCAGATGTGCTCCAAGAGTCTGGTGTAATTTTGTTCCTCACCAAATCTCTTTCCCACCACTATTGCAAGAACATTCCTCCTCTGCCACATGCCATACCTCTTTTTCTTACTCCCACCTATAGTTTCTTGTCTTAAATATTGTCCACTGCAGAATGACTCACAATTTGGCTAATTTGGATATGCCAGAATCGGAAATCTCATGGTTATTGCAAAGTTCTCATACTCAAATTTCACATGAGGGATTCAGTTAGTGTGGGATTGCTATCATCTTAAGTGATGATAAGTACAAACATCTGTGTATTGGGACCTGTCTTTTATGCTCCTGTTTCTACATTCCAGAAATTAGTTTAAGAATTCAACAGCAGTTTGTTCTTCCTGATTTTCTTTTAATCTGTTTTGTCTTCCAGATTATATTATGATCCTTATGAATAAGCATGTTTATTTGGTTAGTGTTTCTATTTTCTAAATTACCCTTCATCTTGTATTCAGCTAAAATATATTAAACATCTGTGGTGTCTAAAACACTTTGTGGAACGTAGAATACATACATTTAGAGTGGCAGTGAGATGACCAGAGGAGCAGGTGACATGCTTTAAGGTCTTATGGCCAGCCGAACTGTCTGGGTTTCGTAAACACAAGGGAAGCATCAAAGGTTTTAGAGCCGGTGAATGACATAATCTGAGCTAGGCTTTAGGGGGATGCCTTGAACACTTGTATATGGGATAGGCTGAAAGGAAGAAAGATTATAGGCCAGGTGACAGTTACTACAAGGAAAGTTGGTTTTTTTTTTTGTTTGTTTGTTTGTTTTAAGTAACTGTTAAGAATGTGAAAATATACAGGATGCTTCTGACTCTAGATCATTGGTGTATTCACTAATCTGCAGTGGGATTTTGTTTAAATTCCAAAACAAATGTTCCCTTTCCTGAGACTTTGTACTTTGTGTCCCAACCTGGAGCAAATACAGATCAGAGAGATGAATTTCTAGGCACATAAATCTGAGTTACAAAGAATCATTACCAAAACCAAAAGGTATTTACTTTGGGTAAATAGGCTCCCTTTTTTGTAAACCAGAATTTCACTATTGACAGTTGTATCTCCCCTAATATGAATTACCTAAGAAGAGGATTAGCCTATCTGTAACAGAAAAAAATAGTAATATATAGAGAGGTAAGATGGCTGTTGGCTTCTATAAAGGTGTCATTGGTCACCCCTTTTCCCCATCTGCACCCAACTACATAACCCTGTCTAAAATATCTTAGGGAAGCCACTAGCTGGTTTCATCACACATAATAGACTTGTTGACTGTGAACAATTATTAAGAAGTTATCAAACCCTGCTGACATCTCCTTTTGAGAAACAGCCTAGTTCAAATAAAGGTCAAGTCCATATCCTTAAATTGCGAGTAACCTATGGTGGTTCCAGCTGACCTCACAATAAATATTTACTTTTACCATCTCTAGTTTGCTAGCTGCTTCTCACAACACAGTAACCCCTCTCAGATCACTGTACAAATCAATAATGGTCGGGGTTTTTTTCTGTTTTGTTTTTTTTTGGTTGAGATTTAAATAAATCTCAAAGTTTTCTAAGGTTGTTATAAGCCTCATTCAACAAAATGCACTGGCGTGTTTCCTTAAGGCCGTGTCGCTCAAGCTATATGGTCTGTGCTTTACAGTTTGATTCACCTTTGGTATTTTCTCAGATCGTTTATTGCAAATTATGTTTTCAGGTTGCATTTCATAGAATATGATACAAATTGTAAAAATTGGGTGACGTAGCCCTAGACAAACAGTTTCCATAGATACTGCTACTCTGAAAGTCTCTTTCTTCCTTTCCAGTGAACTTGGAGACATTCCCACACTAAAAACACTGCAAGTTTTTGGAATCGTGCCAGACGGTACCCTTCAACTGTTAAAGGAAGCCCTGCCTCATCTCCAGATTAATTGCTCTCATTTCACCACCATTGCCAGGCCAACCATTGGCAACAAAAAGAACCAGGAGATATGGGGCATCAAATGCCGACTGACAGTGCAAAAGCCCAGTTGTCTATGATGCAGTTATTGTGGGATGATGTCTCCTCTTTTCTTTGGAATGGGGAAAATAGGCAGGAAACCCAATTGCTGGAGCACTCAGCTAGTTTTATTCTTGGTTTTCTCTTTGCCTTCATCCTGCAAGTATATTAGAGAACCATTGAAAGGGAAAAGTATGAAGAGTTGCTTTTTTTGAAATGACTGTAAAAGCTTCTCCCTGCTTTGCCCATAAGAGTCTAAGTTGTAGGCCTTTTGAAATTTTAGGAGAGTAAGCCTATAATTTCAAGATACCTTAAAGAACAAAATTTGAGCCACCTGTTCCAGGTGCTTTTTTTATTAAGCCTATTTAGAATCAAGCTTAAAAATTTCCACTGGCAAAGAATTTTCATAGCCTGTATGGTAACTTTTATCTATTTAATTTTTCAGCATTGCTTTATAAGACATAGCTTGAAAGAATAAGCTATTTGTATTGTGAGCTGAAAGAGAATCATAGGATAGTAGCATTTGAGGCAATCTCTTCTGGGGATAAAAAAGGGAAAAAAACGCATTACAATTTTGCCTATACATTTTCATGTAATTTACCTTAAAACCTAAATAAAAAACAAGCAAAAAAACAATCAGAGGCATAGAATTGGTATAGGATTTGAAGGCTCAAGAGGCAGTTTTTCCTATGACAGGTTAATTTGAAGTATCCTTTAATGTTTGTTGATGTACTGTGTTCCCAGAATTCTAAATTAGGTGAAGAAATATAATTGTAGTTTTCTAACTTTATAATCAAACTATGTTAACATGCGTTTTCTAGCTTTTTATATGACTTGCTTTGTTTTAGGAAGTTGGTATTAACCCAGTCGGCCTCTATTGAAAAGTTGAGTGGAAGAATTCTGAACTGAAATCACCTGCTGTTTTCCTTTAGCGCTGAAGTTCTTGAGGTTATTTTTTTATTATTCTGAAATCAAGTCTTTTAAATTGTCTTTTTTTTAATGTTCTCTCATAATAATGATTTGAAATTACCCATTTCATAAGGTTACTGGACTTAAAGTTCCCAGAGAAGAACTTCATGTTCCTTTCAATCAAAGATGCACACTAGAAGCAGGTTCCATGCAGTTTGAGAGCAGTAAGCACTACTTTTACCTACGTAAGAGTTAAGACTCCAGGTGTTGAACCTTTTGATAGAACTAGTGATTTTTTTTTTTTTAAACTGGTACATGGGGGCTGGCCATTTAGCTCAGTTGGTTAGAGCATGATGTTGATAACACCAAGGTCAACCGTTCAGATCCCCTTAATGGCCAGCTGCCAAGAACACACAAAAAAAACTGGTACAGAGTAAAAAAATTAGGTTCTGCTTTTTAAAAATCACAAAAAACTAATTTAAATTGATGGCCTCCCCATATGTTCAATATGTAACAACAAAAAAACGCCTAAACCCATCATTTTTAGTAACATTAACTTTTTTCCTTTTTTTAATCAAAACTTTTAAAAGTAGAAACAATAGTATGAAGTGCCCTTATCTGCTCAGACCTAAGGAAAACCATTTTAAAGTAGTGTTACACAGGAATTGATTATGCTTTGATTTCTTAGTTAAAAATGCTAAATACTACTTGAAATTATTGTTTACAGATTAGTGACAAGAGCTGGTAATAGGAACCAGTTGGACTTTGACTTCTGGATGCCCTCAAACATACAGTACTGCCAAACTCAAGTCCAGCCATAAGCTATTTTGCCAACATGTCAGAGTAATCTGTATTTTTGTATGTGATTTCTACTTTTATAGACTTGTTTTACAATAAAGCACATTTTTATAAAAACAAGTACTTCAGTTGAGTTGTATTCCTTTTTTTCTAAGTACTGTGGTTAAAATTAGAAAGCATTCAGTGTAGTATGCCATTTGGCTCAGAGGCCTCTAAAAAAGACCTTGCAAAACAGACCCATCTACTTCATGTGCTTATTGTCAAATTAAAATGATAGTTTATAATGCTTTTTGAAAAGGTGCTAAATACTGGCTTATTATTACATTTGAAGTGCTTCCAAAAGTAATGACTTATTTATAAAACATCTGAATTCAAGTGACTAATGTGATAATCAAGTACTATCAATAAAAGTCAGTTGGTAATACTCTTTACAGACTTGATCAGCTTGTACTGTGTATTTTACTGTCATTCAGAAACCATTTGAAGAGTTTTACCCTGTGCCCAGAGGTCTTCCAGCAATTAAATTCCTTTTGAAACCTGTCCATTCAGATGGTGGAATGGTGATTCTTAATTATCATCCAGGTGCTTGTGTCCCTTCTATTCTGGTGAACTCAAATGCAATTCAACATTTAATGACGATCTACAATGGTGAGCATACGGTGCTTGAACAGCAGCACACGGGAAGGTGAGGAAAGGCAACTAGTCTAGGGACTGGGCAAACTAGAAAGTCACTGGGTACCCTAACCCTGCAATAAGCAAAAAGGCAACCTCCTCTTTCACTAACACACTTCTTACCCTCCCCACCTAGCCAAATACTCCAGGAAATCAAAAAGGTCTCTTCAACAAGAGGCTAATAACTCTTCAAGATTATTGCTTAAAGCCCTAAAAGCCTGTACTAATTTATGGAATTGTTTTGCTTTATTATTTATTTTTTATTGTTTTATTATTTTTGTGTTAGTGACTCTACATATTAAAATGCTGATATTTTGATACTTCTCAAAGTAGATACCAAAATATCTAAATGTACTTTTGAGCATTAAAATCACTATATTTAAGGTATTTCATTTTTAAATAATACTTAAAATATTCCTTCCTATTTTTATTTCTTTAGCTCATTTAGTCAGTGAGTTCTTAAAACTGTGCCGTTAAAGCCCACAAGACTTTAAAACAAAATTCTTTAATGCTGAAACTTAATAAGCCTTCTCACTGACTTATTTTCTAATCTCTCCTGAGTATTTTTAATGTTAAAGTCGAGAATAAACTGCATTTGAAGAAATAATTGAACTAATCTTTAGTTCAGCCGTTCAGCAATATATTTACTCTTATCCCCCTCATGACCACTATATATGTTTATTTTATTTATTATATTATTTAGATGTTACATTATCCCTGGGATCTTTTTGCGCAACTTTCTTCATAGATACTTGTCCTTAAGTATAAAGATGCATAAACTATATTGGTACAATGGAATGGATTAGTGATTTAAATTTTCAGTTTACATTGTTACTTTCACAGCTGAACAATAGATAATATATCCTTAAATTTATATTTGACAACTTTTTCAACCCTAGTGAATATTTTGCAATAAAAATAATTGGCTCTATCTTTCTGCTTATTTAAAAAGTGAATCAATGTAAAGTTTTTGTACATGAAGGTTATCCATTTAGTAAAACACGTAATTGGATTTGATGTACTGGGGTTGTGAATATAAATACATATGGAACATCAAGAATATTAAGTCGAAATTATTTGAAGAGTCAGGTAAGTACTGCGTTGGACTGAGTGTCCCTCCAAAACTTGACCCCCAATATGACAGTGTTAAGAGGGTGGGAAATCCTATCATGGTGACTGAAAGGTAGGGCCTTGAAGAGGTGATTAGATTGTAGGACCATGCTATAGTGAATGGATTAATAATGGTGGTCAGGGGTGTGATTCTGAAAGCTTTAAAAAGAGTGCATAAGGAACTATCTTGCCTTCTCTGCTCCGCCATTTTCTGCAATTTGAGACCCCTGGGGCACTGTCACCACCACTAAGACCCTCACTAGATATGTTTCCTGCACTGTAGACTTCCCAGCCTCCAAAAGTATAAGCAATTTTGTTTTCTTACAAAGTACCCAATTCTGTGTATCTTGTTATAAGCAACAGAAATGGACTAATACATTTACCCTCTGATTAAAATAACAAATCATTCTGTGCCAACTATTAGCAGTAAGTGAAGTAAACAGGGCACTGAATATACATAGCAGTGGGGAAAAAGACTTTTGACACACAAGATTTTGGGAAAACTTGGTTTGCAAATAATGACCCATAAGAGTTAAGGAAACAAAATGAAGTATAAGAGAGAACAATGATTTAATTTTATTCACATATAGTTGCCATTAAAAGGTTAACTCAGTCATAAAAACAATTTTGCTATTCTAACATCTTCTGCCTCTCATCTCTCACAAGTAAATCCCACCACAAAATAGAAATGTTAGAAGTCACATCACAGATGGGGCACATTAAGTATTTTTAAGCCTTTTAAAATATGGCTTATGAACAGTTTTACACAACACGTTACCTATGAATATGTTACATATTAACAGATGTATGGTAGCATTTTGACAATCAGATTTCCTTGACATATTAAGGATGGAGCTTGCATTTTTTTCAAGAAGGTATTTTAGATCTGTTAGGGGAGTTTCTATAGTGTGAAATTTTATTTCTTTGTAAAATGATATTACATGTATCATTTAAAAAAAAAATCAAACTAGAAACTAGATCCAGCTCTGGGAAAACACTAATTTTATTTGCTTTCTATCTGATCCATCACATAAACTCTTTGCTATCAGTATTTATGCAGATACACTTAACAAAGATAAAAAGATTCTTCTGGATATACATCAAAACTTAGATTACCTCTGTACACTAACATTTATAAACAAATCTGATAATAATATATTAAATGTTGGCAAAACTAAGAGCACCCAATTTGACTATATGAGTATATCCTAGCTTTCACAGAATCTACTTCTGAGTTCACTAGGCTCAAATTCTAAAAGGATAGTCTGTTTCATTCATCAATGTATACTGAGCACCTGACAGATTAGTACATGGCACAGAGTAGATGTCCAATAAATACTTGTCAGTGATTGAAAAAAATTTTCACCAGCAAGTGAAAAAATGGCATGAGAATACCAAGTGTTTCATTATGCAGCAACAGGATCTTTTTGGTGAAAATTCTAGGGTTACTTACTATTAGTAGATCAAGAATTTGATAAAAATAATTTCCTCTAAAAATAAATTCTCATAATGAGGAAAAAGGAAAACTATAATTTATCCTATAAAGCTAACTATGTAAAACAGAATATTAGCTAAGTGAAAATCACCACAATACCAAGTAAGGCAATTCCAAAACTACCGTGTTTCACATATTTACTAAAGAATCCATTCTCTTTCTGGCAATACTAATACTAGATGAAAATATTTTTTAAATATTTTACCAGATTCCCAAAAGAACATGTCTAATCAATTCACTTCATCCTTTTAGTAACTGAATCCATGTTAGAGAATTTTAAAGATGGAAGAAACCTATTAGACTCAAATCACTTTTAAAAAATTGTCTGAACTAAAATAGCTACTGGATAATTTATACATTTGTAACAACAGCATCATGATTTTTTCCCAATATATATTATTTCACCTAGCATTGTTGAAATTAACCAAAACGAAAGTGTAAACATTCATTTTGGTGACTGTTTGAAATTTTTAAATCAATAAAGTGTCCTAACATTGTCCTGAAATTAGAAAATTCTTAGTACATATAAAAACACATTCACCTATTTCAATTAGGTCAATGTCAGGATTTATCAAAATTGTCCATCATCATCATCATCAAAATCTTTTTTTAAAAATCTTGATTTTTACGTACTATAAAAAATATGCATTAATCATATGTGTTTGGTTTGACCAATTGCACAAAGTTAGAAAGAAAGGGAAGGAAAAAACACTTTTACAGTTAAATTTCAAATCCTAAACATTTAATCCTTTATTTCAGCCTGCCTCTCTAGATTTAAAAATATATCAGCACTCTAGGTTATCAATTGTAAGTTATATAGAAATTTCACTGGTATCAATTCTAATCAGTTTAGTCCATCCATTTTCTTACACAGTGCACATCTTTATTTCTATCAGAATCGAACAGAAGAATACAAATCTCGCCTTCTTTGTCACCTTTGAGCCCAAAGGCAACCAGTTTCAACAATAACCAAAAAATGTTGCTTTATGGTTGGTAGTCTGTTTTTGCAGTAAAAATAGTAATCCAAATTTCACATCTGAAGAAATCCTTCACTGCTCTAGAAGCACAGTTCGAAGCTCATCTTCTTTATTGATCATCATTGAAGCAATTGCTCCATCATTAAACTCAAAAGAAGTTCCTCCATCCACAACCATACATGCGTCCCAACAACGAGAACGAACACAAACCCTAAGCAGAAGAAAATATCTCATTAGATATTAACAGTTTTCTTAACTCTAAATAATAGTGTATTTAAAACCCTAAATTTTTATCTAAACTAGCAGATCATTTGGCCTTGATTTTAAAAACCAAGTTACTCTTTGGTATGAGAGAATTAGTGACTGTAAATATATGGGTTATATTATCAAAGTCTCAAAATTTAAATGTTCAGGATAGCACCATTCACTCACACATTTATCAGTAAACAAGTGCAGACTTGATGGAACTCATAGGCTGTTTTCATATGACTGAATGTTGTTATTATCATTACAAGAATTTTAAGTATTGAGCAAGAGTGTTTCATGTAAAATATTTACTTAAGTATAACACATACACAGAAGAGGCACAAATTTTTAATGAACAGCTCAGTGAACACTTGTGTGATTATCACCCAAACCAGGAATCACGTGTTAATCAAGCTCACCAGAAGCTCCCTTACTGCCCTCTCCCAGTCGCTACCCCTTCTCCCTCCTTCCCAAGTATGCCCACTATCCTAATTCCTATCACCATAGTGTAATAGCTTTGTCTGTTCTTGAACTTCATATAAATGGAAAAATACAATATATACACTGGTGTCTGACTTCTTTTGCTCAATAGTATGTTTGTGAAATTCACCCATGTTCTTACACGTAGTAACTGATTTGTTTTCATCACTGTATGAAAACACTTCCATTGTACGAAAATACAAAATTTACATCTCTCTTCTATTCACAGACATTTGGTTTTCTGGCTCTTGGGAGTGGTGCTGCTATGAATATTCTTGAATGTTTCTTTGGTGAATACATTTCTGTTGGATATATACCTGAGAGGAGAATTATCAGGTCACCTGTGTTCACATTTGGTAGGTAACTGCCTAACAATTTTCCAAACCTATATATTCCTAACAGTAGTGTATAAAAGTTCCAGTTGCTCCTCTTTACCAACAACTGGTGTTTTAGCCATTCTGGTGGTTGTACATAGCATTGATTATATAGTTTTAATGCGTGTTTCCCAAATGAACGACAAGGTCGAGCACCTTTCTCACATGCTTATTGGCCATTTGGATATCTCCTTTTGTGGAATTCCTAGAACTTTTGGCCACTTTTTAATTGGGTTGCCGCCTGCTTTTTTCTTATTGATCTGTAGGAATTTTTATATACTATATATGCTGGCTATGAGCCCACTGCTGGATATAGGTCCTGCAAACATTTTTCTCACTCTGTAGCTTGCCTTTTTCTTTCTTAATGGTGTCTTTTGATTACCTGAAGTTCTTAATTCCCATATAGTTTAATTTATCAATCTTTTCTTTAGTTGTTAAAGTGTCTTTTATGACAAGTTTAAGAAATCTTTTCCAACTGCCAAAGTCACAAAGCTATTCTATTAACATTAGCTAAAACTTAAATATAAGAAGTATATATTTTTAACAAGTCTTTGTAGTCTCACCCAAATTGAGCATAGATTTTTTGATTAATCAAAACTAACTCTCAAATGAGTAAGTGAATTTTAAAATGAGTTTCCTTTCTAGTGTCTTACCTGGGGGGGAAAAATTATATATTCATTAAAAGAAAATATGTACACTATCAGCTGCAATTTGTAATGAAACTGTTCTTTGTTTGCTATGACATAGACGACATTTTCTCATAATTATGGTAGGTTTTCTTGTTAATTTGGAAAACTGGGCAACCTTTACAAAATAAGAAATTTTATTAATTTTTTTATATCCTCCCCCTCAAAAAAAAAAAAGCTGAAGCAGAATCAATTGATGTGAGTAGAGGGGGGTGTTCATTTTTAGGGAAAAGCTGAAAGACATGAATGCTACTCTAAAGGTTTATTCTGTGCAACTTAGATTTTATATGAATTTTTATCCTGCTTTTATTCCAAAGCTTATGAAAAAGAAGTTGCTAGAATAGTTTTTTTTTAAAATGATCAATTTCATTTTATTATGTCTTGATACATAGGACAAACAACAAATCAACATCACCCAATTAAATAACTATACCCCTTCTAGTCGCTTAAATTTTAGTTTTCTCGGGCCGGCCCGGTGGCGCACTGCTACAGTGCGCTGCTTGGGAGCGCAGCGGCGCTCCCACCAAGGGTTCGGATCC